AAGAAACAAAGCAAAAAAAAAAAGAGAGAGAGAGCAAATAATATGCTTCAATCTGCATTCAGATTCCATAGTTCTTTTTTCTGGATTATTTTTTTTTATAGAGTATTTTGTAATTGTACCTAAGAAGGTCTTGAGTGTGTCTTAGTAGATTGGCTTTCAGATATTTTCTGCATTTTATAGGTAGTTTGTGTGAGACTGCCCTATTATTTCTTTCAGATTTGTGTTTTTGATAAACAGAAATGCTGATGATTCTTGTGGATTATTTGCTATACTCTTGCCTTACTGAAGTTATTCTTAAGTTGTTTCTTTGCTGATTCGTTAGTATTTTCTAAGTAAATCTGTAAACAGGGATAATCTTGTCTCCACTTTGCCAGTATTTATGCCTTTGACTTTTTTTCATGTCTTACTGTTAGCACTGGCATTTTTAGAACTATGGCATATAATAGTGGGGAAAGAAGGCAACCTTGCTTTACTCCTGTATGTTGCAAATAATGCCAGCCATGCCTTGATGAGTTTTTAAAATAAATGTGTGTTGTACTTTGTTAAAGGATTTGGAGGCATCTATTGAAATAATTCTATGGTTTGGGCTGTTTTTTTAAAATATGAGTATATTAATTATTTTTCTAATGCTGAACTACATTGGTACCTCTGGTAAAAATTAAACTTGGGCAGAGTGAGTAATTTTTTAAAATATATTGCTATATTCTTTTTGCTAGGATTTTCTTTTCAATTTCTTCTAAGTGTCTATTATTCTATTTTACAAGTAAAACACAAAATGAACAAGTCTGTTTTTTTCCTCTGAACAACAATACAATTTTCATAATTTATATTATGTCTTTACATGACAACTGGCAAAAGAGGAGTAAAATGAGTTTAACCTGCAACATGAAGAATTAGAGTTAGACTTCAGATTCTCTGAACAGTGAAGACTGTGAACACTGGAATGGATTTAAAAATGTATACATATATATGTATACACACACACATATATATCTGTGTGTGTATACACACACACACACAATGGTGAGAAAGATATTCCATGACTATAAAATTTTCAGCTAATGGAACCACAGGACAAGCGACTTAGAAGAACTGAAAGCAAGAATGAGAGAGGACTAAGGATTCTTTTCCTTAAGAATGGCAAACAAAGGAATTTTATAGTAACTTAAGAAGAGTGGAAAATATGGTTAAAAAAAAACCATGGGTGTTGGCTCATCTGAATGATTTCATAACATGCAGGAAAGACCTGGAACAGCATGAGGAAAGACCTCTGAAGGTAATAGATGGGTTAGAAGTCACTAGTTTAAAGCTGCTGATAGCAAGTACCAGTTCTTCTAGGCTACTCTCAAGTACATGGATCACATTACAGCTCAGTAGAGTGAACACAAACCCCAAGAAGATAGAAATATTGACAACCTCTCCAAAATTATGCCCAAAGAATTAATAAAAACTAAATATATTTCTGGTGTTTGGTACATAATGTTGGAGATTTATAGAGACCACTACTAAGTTTTACAATGATTTGATATGTGGTTATAACTTTGGGAAAACCCACAAATAGAAGGAGCAGAAAAAGAGCAATCAGTCCTTGACTACCTGGCATCTTTTGGAAATTGCCAAGGTGAGAGATGTGATCAGACATTAAGAACTTCGTTGGCTACCTTATGGCGTTCCCTGATCCAAGCAAGTCCTTTGGATAAATGGCTTGGGAACTAGCTTTGTAACAAGAGAGTACTGTCAACCAAAAGCCAATCCAATAGGATTCTCACAGATACTAAGACTTATTACCTTATCTACAATTTAAGAATACCTGGTTTTAAAGCAGGCTACCACTTAAAAATTTTGTGACTATATGCATAGACTTGGATTTTAGGTATGGACCAACAACACCTAGTGACATAGCCTGATAAGCACTAAGATGGGATGCTGTAGATGTGGGAAGAGTCTGGAGCCAACGATGAGTTCAACACATATTAACAGTCAAATAGGACCAACACTGATGCCGATGCTCTATTTGATATGGTTCCTGTGCACTGGCAACTCTAATGAAGAAGATAAAGGCTACTTATGACATGTTAGAGAATGGGCTTACCACAAGAGTTTGGGACTTCCTCTGAAGAGCACACTATCAGTAGAAAATAATAACGTAGCACTAGGCCAACCTTTCTAATCCCTCTTGACCATGTGTGATAGCAGTGAACTCAACTACAGAATAAATGTTTTTTAAGAAAATGGCCTTAGAGCAGGAGATATTACCTTTCTTGCAACATGGGCCCCTTTGACAATCTGGTAAAACCTACGGAACCACTCTAAGAGTAATAGTTTAAATAACTGAAAGAAATGCTAAATTTCAGTTAGAGGTTAGTGAAAATAAAGAAGTAATTTTTTCCCCTAAGTTCATGGACCTTCTGAAATCTATACATGGATCCCTTGAGGGTCCATGGGCACGAGGTTAAGAACATTTGCCTTATGGGAAAATAGTAAAGACACATCTCCTTAGATCATACCACCTTGGAAGAACTGAAAACTTACAGGTCCCCAGAATTATCTTTGAAAACAGCTACACAAAACCCCTGAAATTTGGGACAATGCCTTCTCCGCTCTGGAATCAGAGCCCCTCTTTAGCACAGAGTTAAAAGTCAAGAAATAGGCCAGAGAAATGAGCAAACAACAAAAAAAGATCCAGACTACAGAAAGTAACTATGGTATAGGGAAGATCAAAACACAAACTGAGAAGAAGACAAGCCAAAACTGCTACAGCTAAAGCCTCAAAGAAAAACAGGAATTGGTCTCATGCCATGGAAGAGCTCAAAAAGGATCTAAAAATCAAGTAAGAGGAGTAGAGGAAAAATTGGGAGAAGAAATGAGAGTGATGCAAGAAAATCATGAAAAAAGAGTCAAAAGCTTGGTAAAGGAAGCACAAAAAAATACTGAAGAAAATAACAACTTAAAAAAACAGAAATAGACCAAATGAGAAAAGAGGTATAAAAACCCAATGAAGAGAAAAATGCTTTGAAAAGCAGAATTAACCAAATAAAAAAAGATACAAAAATTAACTGAAGAAAAGAATTCCTTAGGGGGCAGCTAGGTGGCGCAGTGGATAGAGCACCAGCCCTGAAGTCAGGAGGACCTGAGTTCAAATTAGGCCTCAGACCAAACACTTGACATGTACTAGCTGTGTAACCTTGGGCAAGTCACTTAACCCCAATTGCCTCACGAAAAAAAAAAAAAGAAAAGAATGCCTTAAAAAGTAGAATTGGCTAAATGGAAAAGGAAATACAAAAGCTCACTGAAGAAAATAACTCCTTAAAAATTAGAATGGGGATAGAAAGCAGCTAGGTGGCACAGTGGATAGAATACCAACCCTGGATTCAGGAGGACCTGAGTTCAAATCCAGCCTCAGACACATAACACTTACTAGCTGTGTGACCCTGGGCAAGTCACTTAACCCCTGTTGCTGCTCCCCAAATTAGAATTGGGCAAGTAGAAGCTAATGGCTTTATGAGACATCAAGAAAGAATCAAATAAAGTCAAAATAATGAAGAACTGAAGAAAATGTGAAATATCTCATTAGCAAAACAACTGACCTAGGAAATAGATCCAGGAGAGATCATTTAAGAAGTATTGGACTACCTGAAAACCATGATTGAAAAAAGAGCCTAGATATCATCTCTGAAGAAATTATCAAAGAAAACTGCCAATATTCTACTTTCAAATACTTGAATATATGTATCAAGATGTCTTTTCCCCTCCTCCAATGTAGTCTCTTGACCTGAGAGCTCTAGAATTTGGCTCCATTCAATTGAGGGAATAGATTTAAAGCCCTTCTTTATCCTGGCTTCCCTCCTATGGACACTATCCATATTTCTGTTGTATTTCCCAAAATTTGGTGTCAAGAAATAATACTTCAGAAGTGGTCTACCCAACACAGAGTACATAGCTCCCTAGTTCTCCACACTACACCTCTCCTAATACTGCTTAAGATTGTTCTGGCTTTCTTGGCTGCCATATATGCCCAATATTCTATAGGAACCAACATCTAATAAAGGATGTTAAAGTAAATCCACAGGAGCTAACATCCAAGAGAGAATATCACAAATCCATGGTCTCAGATGTCTACACCAAAATGCAAAATATAGGCAATATACAAAGTAAACTAGAGATTCTAAAGCACAAGGAAAGTTTTGCCTCACAAATATCACTGACACTTTAGAGGATGATTCATGACTGGACTATAGCCATTAAAAAGTATGCCTTATTCATAAAAATAGAATAAATAAAATAGGCAACAAGTAGCATAGTATATTAAGAATATACATTCATTTAAAGAGGCAAAATGGTATGGCGGAAAAAGAGATGGTCTTGGAACCAGGAAAACCGAAATGTACTTTACAAAGGTTGTCAATGATGTAGCAGTTAGGTAAGCTGGTGAAAATAGCTCCCTGGGAGGTATAAGATAGAACATATGAGTTTTCTTCCCACATATGTTTCCCTTCTAGATTCCTGTTCATAGGTTCCCAAAGTAGGCAATACTGTCCCCAGGGGTGATGGAATGATCTGGGGGGCAGTAGTAGCCTCGGGTGCAATAAGGGGACATTGAATAAAAATAAGGGAGCAGTGGAATCATAAGGAAAGAAGAGAAGAGACTGAATTCGAGAGATGCTCTAAAGGGAGAATCAACAAGATGTGGCAACTTATTGGATGTGGAGGAGAGGGGGAAGAGTGAGAGTGAAGAGTAGAGGATGGGCTTATCTGAATTTAAAGTGAGGAAGTTTAGGATCAGATAGTTTAAGTGACTTGTCCATGATGACACACTTACGAAATGTCTAAGGCAGAATTTGAACGAAGGTCTTCAGACTCAAAATCAAGCACTCTATCCAAGCTACCTCTCAAGTAGTCTGGTTGCCAAAATTGGCAGAACAAGATAATCAGGAACAAAGCAGGAATGCTATAGTTTTTCCTTCTTATCACCTTATATCTGAAATTCAGATGTTACTCACAAGAATCCAGCAGCATAGGAATCAGAGAGATTGTTTGTGCCTCCAGCTGAGGTGGTTACAACACCCTCAAGCCAAATCTTCTTCCCTGGGGTATATGTGTTTACCACCTGTTTATAAAACAAAAGCCATGAAAATTATGAGAAAATAAACCTCTTCTCCTTGCATGCCAGAAAAAAAACACATTGCCCTTTAGCAATTAAAATCTTCCTGTGTGCTCTTCCTAGGTCTTAGCCCTGGATTGGGTAATCCTAAATGAGAAGTTCTACAAAATGATAGTCTGCACATGCTAGGAACTTTTCTATTTCTCTTTCAGAGCTAAGCAGAAATGGAAATTGTCACAGGAAGGGCTCCTTAAGTACTTAAGTAAGTACCTACCATCTTGCCAAGCCCTAAACTAGGTGGTAAGACAAAATTTCTCCCTTCATTGAATTTAAAACAGTTGGATAAGACAAAAAGAAAGACAGCTATAATGCAAAATGTTACATGGTTAGAAAGTTGCACAATGAAGTGCTATAGAAGAGTAGAGAAGCAAAAATGTACCCAGATCCTCTGGACAATAACACTATCTCCGTCTCTAATCCAAGGACTATAATACTGAATGATTCATTGTAACTTTTTGACTAAAAATTTATGAAGTATTTATGTGGTACTTTTGTCTTTTCCAGAAGATATTAACTTAAAAATATGGAAGCTCAAAAGGAAAAATGAATCTCTATATACAGATATAAGAAAAAGGAAAAAATACAAAACAACACAAAAATCTCTAAGAATGAATGTAGATCACAAATTGAAAATGAATCAGTGTGATAAGTTATTAAAATATGGTATATATTATTCCTAATGGGACATATCAAACATGAAAGTCCTACTTAAAGTAATCTTTTTTACTGATTAACTTTATTTATTTATTTTTTACTATTAAAACAAAAACGATAATTTTCACATATATAGCAGAAGACAAAAGGAGATTCTACATATAAAACCATGAATCTGCATGTCATATGGCTTGTTTTTTTTTAAGGATCTAATAAATTCCATGTTACTGTTAAAGCTGTCCTGCTCATCTGTGCTCCATTCTGAATTTCCTTCTGTTCTTTTTGTGTATTTTAAAGCATTTCAATGGCCTTTTTTCCCATCACTCTTGCTAACACCCTCTCCTCCTAAGCCTTCTCCCGATTAAAAATGGAAAGAAAGAAAAAATAAATTTGTAACAAGGACTTACTATCATATGCCAGCTACTGTATTAACCTCTGGGGATACAAAGAAAGGCAAAAGATGGTCCCTGTCTTCAAGGAGCTCACAGTCTAATAGGGGAGACAACATGCAAGCAATTATATTCAAATAATATATATCAGGATAAATTGGAAGTAATCAACAGAAGAAAAGCATTAAGGGGGACTGGAAAAGCTTCTGGTAGGAGGGATTTTAGTTGGATCCTGAAGGAAACCAGGGAAATCCACAAGGTGGAAATGAGGTAGGAGAGAATTCCAGATATAGGGGACAGCCAGGAAAAATGTCTGGAGTCTGAAGATGGGGTATCTTGTTCAAGAAATAGCAAGAAGGTCAGTGTTAAAGGGTCACAGAGTAGGTGGGGGGAGCAGTAGTAAGGAATAAGAAGGTTGGAAAGGTACAATGGGGAGAAGTTATGAGGAGCTTTGAATGCTAAATAGAAGATTTTATATTTGATACTGGATGTGACAAGGAGCCGCTGGAGTTTACTGAACTGCGGGAACATGGCCAGAGTCATGCTTTAGGAAGATCAACTTGACAGCTCACTGGAGGATGGAGTAGAGCAGAGAGAGAATTGAGGCAGGGAGACCAACCAGCAGGCTATTGCAGTAGTACAGGCATGAGGTGACAAGGGTCTCCAGCAGAACAGTGACAGTGTCAGAATAGAGAAGAGATCTTTTGAAGGTAAAATTGACAGGAACTGGCAACAGACTCTGTGTGTGTGTGTGTGAGAGAGAGAGAGAGAGAGAGAGACAGAGACAGAGAGAGAGAGAGAGAGACAGAGACAGAGAGAGAGAGAGAGGAGCTGAGGATGACACCCAAGTATGCAACCTAGGTGTCTAGAAGAATATGGTATGCTCGGCAGTAAAAGAGAAATTCAGAAGACAGGAAGTTGGGGGGGTGGGTAGGGATGAGAAGATAATGAGTTTAGTTTTGCATGTGTTGAGTTTAAGATGTCTATGGGACATCCAATTCAAGACATCCATTAGGAAATTGGAGATGTGAGAATGAAGGTCATCTGAGAGCTTAGGGCTGGATAAGATCTGAGAACCATCAGCATAGAGATGATAACTGAATCCATGGAAGCTGAAATAGCAAATGAATCTATACAATATCCATATACAAAGATTTATATCTCTGCACCACTTTGTCAGGAAATGGGTAATTTATTTTATCATAGCTTCTCTGGACATATGTTGATCATTGTACTGATCAGAATTCTTAAATCTTTTAAGTTGTTTTTTCTTTACAATGAATGTTCTATAATTGCTTTTTAGGTCCTGCTCATTTCACTCTGCATCAGTGCATACTACCCAGAATTCTCTGAAATTGTTTCTTTCATAATTTCTTACAGAGTACTAATACCCTCTTACATTCATGTACCATAATTGTTTAATTATTCTTCAGTTGTCTAAGAGGTGATCTAAGGTACCCTCTTAAATTCTAGTTCTTTGATTTCCTTTTTAATTCTCCTTTCAGCATGAGAGGAAGTTGGTTCTACCTGTGACTATTCAAATCTAAATCAAGTAAACTAGCATTATTAAGTAAGTACTATGGGACAGGCACTGTGGTAAGCACTGGGGATACAAAGAAAGGTAAAAGACAGTTTAGCTCCTGAAAAGCTTACAGTTGAATGGGGGAGATAAAATGCAAACAACTATGTATAAAAAGGTATACAGAAGAGAAATTGGAGTTAATCAATAGAGGGAAGGCACAAAGATAAAGGCTTCATATAGAAGATGGGACTTTAGCTGAGACTTGAAGGAAACTGGGGAAAACAGTCAGTGAGGGTGATGAGGGAAAGAGTTCCAGACATGGGAGATGGAGTGTCTTGTGCAAGGAAGGAGGATGGTGATGCTGGATTGCTGAGTATATCATAGAGTAAGGTCTAAAAAGGCTGGGATTAGGTTATAGAGTTTGAATACCAAATGGAGGATTTTATATTTGACCTTGGAAGTAATAAAATAACAGGGTGATATGATCATACCTGTGCTTTAGGAAGATCAACTTGATAGCTTAGTAGAAGATGGACTGGAGGGAGGAGAGACTTGAGGCAGGGAGATCCACAAGCATATAATATGACAATAGTTCAGGCACAAGGTAATGGGAGCCTCCACCAGGTTGGCTGCAATATCAGAGTAGAGAAGGGGGCATATACAAGAGATATTATGAAGGTAGAAATATCCATCTAATTTTCAAGCTTTGGTGACTGGCTTTTCAACAGGAATAAGGAAATTTAGAAGAGAGTAGAGGTTTTTTTTTGGGAAAGATAATGAGTTCAGTTTTTAGACATGTTGAACTTAAGGTATCTATGGGATTATGAGGTATACTACCTCATACCTATCATATTAGCTAACATAATAGAAAAGGAAAATAAATACTGGAGTGGATGTGGGAAAAATTGGGGCACTAATGCACTATTCATGAGGTTGTGAACTAGTCCAACCATGTTGGAGAACACTTTGGAACTATTCCCAAATGGCTAGTATTCCCTATGACCCAGCAATACCACTATTAGGTCTGTATCTCAAAGAGATCAAACAGAAAGGAAAAAGACCTATGTGAACAAAAATATAACACTTATTTTTATTGTGGCAAAGAACTGGAAATTGGAAGGATGCCCATCAATTGGGGAATGACTAAACAAGTTGTGGTATATGATTGTGATAGAATACTATTGTGTTTTAAGAAATGATGGGGGGGATGGTTTCAGAAAAATCTGGGAAGACTTATATGAACTGATGCAAAATGAAGTAAGCAGAACCAGAACATTGTCCATGGTAACAGCAATACTGTAACAATGATCAACTGTGAAAGACTTAGCAACTCTGATCAAGAATGATCCAAGACAATTCTGAATGACTTATGATGAAAAATGCTACACACCTCCAGAAAGAGAAATGATGAAGTATGAGTGCAGCTGAAGCACAATTTTTTACTTTTTTCTTTCCTTTTTTTGGCAACATGGCTAATATGGACATATGGTTTTGCATGATTTTACATGTATAATGGATATCACATTGCTTGCCTTCTCAATGGGTGGGGTGGACGAAAGGCAGGAAAAGAATTCAGAGCTCAATTTTAAAAAATGTTAAAAATAAAAAATAAATTTACTTATTTATTTTTAAGTATGTCTGTGGGACATTCAGTTTGAGATGTCTGGAAGCTAGAAGTTCAAGAATGGAGGCTGGGAGAGAAGATAAAGACTGGACAAATAGATATAAGAATCCTACATATACAGATAATTGAAATCATGGGAAATGATGAGATCACCAAGTGAAATAACATAAAGGTAGAAAAACACAGGGCCCAGGATCGAGCCTTGGGGGACCCCCGAAGTTAGCAGATGTGATATAGATGAAGATCCCACAAAGGAGATAGAGATGAAATGGTCAGACAGAAAGATGACCAGAGGAGAATAACATCACAAAAACTTTGAGAGAAGAGTATCAAGAGGGGAAAACCTGGAGAGAAGAGTATCAGAAGAAAATGATAAAGTGTGTTAAAAGATATAAAGAAGTCAACCTCTCTGCCTTTCCTATCCCTTCTGGCTTCCTTGCGAAGACTGATGTTTTTCAGGAAGGTAGGCAGCATAGTTGAGAGTGTTGAAATTGAGAATCAGGAAGACCTAAGTTCAAATCCTGTCTCAGATACTTAACAGAAAATATAACCTTGGACAAGCCACTTAAGCTTTGGAGATGGTAACAACAGAACCTACCTCACAGGGTTGTTCTGAAGAACAAATAAGATGATATACACAAAATGCTTTACAAAACTTTAAGAGACATATAAATGCCAACTTTTATTTCTTCATCAAATTGTTTTGTGTTCATGTGTGTGTTCTATCCTCCTTTGTCCACTCTGGATGAGAGTGAAG